TTATTCTCTTAACACTCTTTTTCTACCTAACTTTTTTACATCACTCTTTAGTTTAATACCATAGAAGTAATGCATTAATATAATTGCTGGGTACAGAACAATGATAATGACTTGATTAAAACAGTCTTTCACATATCAAAACTAAGCTAAACATTGTTGTATGATGTCAATCTCCATTGTTCATTTGTATTTTTTTTTTTTTTTGTGTGTTCTGTAACTGTATGAGAAGCTGAAATCCTAAAGAACAAACTGTGCCCAGAAAATGTGACAATTAGCTTAAAAACTATGTGCATTTTGGATGTAATCTAAGCTTTTAATGTTCAAGCTCCATTGGTATAGCTCCTCTTTTTCCTGGATTTCCTTGACGACCTCCATATAATTGCAGAAGGGCTTGGACAGATTCGATATGGAATCTTTGGGGTAGGAATATCAGGGACCCTGTAATCAAGATTTTGCAAGAAAATCACCAAGAAAATTACTTGTTTCCTTGTCCCAAGCAAGGGTGCAAGAAAATGAGAAACTTGAAAGGGAAAATTGGTGGGTTTTTATCTTACTGTAATCCGGAAATCTCGATTTGGGAAAAGTCCATGTTAGTTGAACTGTCTAGCCCTGATAGCATTTCTCTGGTCTTGGTCCTCGGTGGTGCCAATTCTGGTTGCTTGATGGCAAGTACTCTGCAGTTGAAGCTATGTGCTATGCTGTCGTGGGCCATGGCCAACCTATGCCGACATCATGCCAAAGAAAAACACTGATTTGAGTTTTGTTACCAGCCCTCGGCTATGGTGCAAAGACACCATGACCAATGCAATCTGCAACCATGATTTGCTGCAGTATTTATTGTCATAATTCATGTTTCCATGAGATTCAAGTCTAATGGTTAACTCTGAATTGGGTAATTTCACTTTCAACTCTAACATTACTCAGTCAATCAATTTCATGGTTGAAAATAAACAAAAAAGAGAAGCGATTGTATGTAAAAATATAGCAAGTATATCCTAATGAGTCTGCTTTCAAACAACTAGCTAGGTTGAGGTTTCCCATAAGAAATCTAGCCTAGTTGACAGTAAACCTCTTGAATCTTTGATCATCCCATGATTTCAGAAGCGCTCCATGCCTTTAGGCTGCAGGGAACTTTCGTCCATTGCTAATTGACAAAGGGAGAAGCATCCCAACAATTACTCAAATCTAGTACTAATTAACATTACCAGCTGGACCCCCAAAAGGGTTTTTGACTGTTTCTTCCAGGCAATGAACAAAGCCACATGCTTGTACGTGCCGGGTTTAGCGAACAATGCCTGAGACTTTCCACCCTAAAGTACAGCCGCCGGGGCCTGTTTTCTTGTGGTCCTTCTCAGCCTCAGGCATCATCATAAAATAATTGGCTATAAGCCTCCAAGTTTTGAACTTGTTTTCTTCTTTATCCTGATAAATAATTGAGTCCCGAAATGGCCTGGAAAGTTACCATGCCTAAGATCTTATGACAGTTTGACCATTTCTTGTACCTTCCTAGAAAGCTCCCCCCAGTCAAAATACCCTGGAAATGGTTTCCCTGATTCACCCCTTCCAGGCTCCGGATGAATCATGGCAACAACGATTAAACAAGGGAAAAAAATCACTGACAAGAAACAAAATTAACTCACTTGTAAAGGAAGCTCTGATCATGGAGACCAACAACAAGAACAGAGGCTCCAATCTCCCGCACCATGGCCAGAATCTTCCTGCCTTCCTGGTCGCCTTCCGTGACAATCATCTCAATATTTGTCTGCAACACAATTCTCTGATTATGGCATATCCGTGAGATAATATGTCACATAAAGAACTTATGGACGAAACGAAAAGAACAGGAAAAGTACTCGAGTTCAAACTCACGTTGAAGAAATTGGAGTTACATATTTCCTTGAAGGAGAGCGCCAGCTGATAGCCTTGCAAGCGAAGCAGCCTTGCTTTCTTCTTGTTCCCGGATGTAGTGGGAGAGAAGACATGAAGGAGAGTTAGCAAATCACCATAGCGAAGTAAGTTGCGGAGAGCCCATTGCAGGGCTGTTCTTGCTACATCTACATCCTCTACTACCACCACTATTTTCCTCACATCCATTCCCTCCCTCCCTCACCTTTCTGATCCCTTTCCCCTCCTCTCCCTCTCCCTCTCCCTCTCTCTCTCTCTAGAGTACAAGTAGAGGGACACTTTTTCTGAGATGGGATTGTGTCAAAAAGCTGAGACAAAAAATGGGAATTGACCTTTTAAGTGAGCCTGGGAACTTTTTGCCAAGACTTGCAATTTCCATAACGTTGATTGGGGTTTATAGGCATGAATTGAATCAAATAATGTCATTTTATTAATAAACTTAAATCTAATACAGAATTATATTGTACTGGATTTAAATTTAACATACTCTTCTTGTATCAATTTTTAAATTTATTTTTTAAAGATATGATAACATTTGATTTAAAAATAATGTACACAATCTCTCTACGTTCAACACATCAAATATAAACCTGCCTGTGGACTACTAGCTCTAATTTCTTTGTCTTTCTATCTCAGATGCCTTTCTCTCTCTAGGTTAGCTAAAATGGCTGGTTAAGAAAATGGCAAGTGATTACTTAGGCAGCTTAACTAAGATATGAAACAACCTAGCAAAATTAGGGTAGGTGGCCGTTGGGACCATTTAATTTACAGCATAAACATGCACCATGTAATTAACTCCTCTTGAATATCATCACCCTCGATTATGTGGCCTTAAATCTCAATTAACTCCATTTTTTAGTTTAAAAAAATGGGAAAAATCAGAAAATCTTTATAAATTAATTGCTTAATCAATCATAATCGACGTCCATAATTATTTGATTTAACAAATTTTTTTGGTTCTTAATTTGAAAAATAAAATAAAAATTGAGTGACAAAATCCTTTTCAATAATTAATGCCTAGTTGAACTCTGTAGGTCCAAAAATATGTCTTTTGATGCCTCCTGATTACCCTTTCTTTTTCTTGATGTTCCAAATACGTAATTTGTTTTATTTGTTCTGGAAAATGATAAGGATGTGAATAGAGACTTACTTATTAATTATTATTATTATTACAAGCATGAAAATTGCCTACAATTTAAATTACGTAATGCTCAATAACTTTTTTTTACCCCGTAAATCTTCTAATTCTTAAAAAAAATTAAGCAAGACATTTGATTTAAACAAAAATCTAGATTTAATTATTAAGGGAATTTTATTATTACAACGGGAAATAAAAAAATTAATTTTTTTATTAGTTTGTGGAAGACTAGTGCTGGCTGCAGGCATGCAAATTTGCGCGTCATTAGCTGACAATGGCCTATGTCCCACGTTGTACGTGGTGATAACATGTTCATTAAAATAACTGAATAATAATAAATTAAAACTTAATAATAATAATAATAATCATGTTATGAAGAATTGGTGACTATTTAGAATAAAAATAATATTTATGAAAATAAAATTTTAAAAAAGATAAATATATTATAAAAATTTAAAATTTTTAGAAAGCGAAGCCCTACTACCCTCCCTTCCGCTAATGGTGTTATTAGTCGGTTTTGTTATCTTGTTTAATGTATAAATTTTATATAATTTCAGTAAATTAAATATTAATTATTTTATCAAATAAAAAAATTTATTTTTTAATATTTTATATTTATGTGATAATAAATAAATATTATTTCTCGATTATAATATTTTAGAAGCTGACGACAAGACATGGAAGCTGGAAGAGAAGTGGTTGTGTTACTTGTGTCGTGGCGTCAGTTCTATTTTGGCTTCATTTGGTCGCCTGTTCTTTTACGTGTCGCAATTGTTGTTTTTTTTTTTTTCTGATTTTTATTTTTCATTTTTTTAAAATTCTTTATTTTCTTTTCTTTTTTAATTACAATCTTGTGTCCACTTCTCTATGTTTCGTCCACTCCGATACCAGGCTTGCAGTAGGTGGGCCCTAATGACGTTTACGGCCCAGTATTCCTTGATTGAGCGTTGCATAAGAATGGGGACGGATAAAGGTGTCTCTTTTTAAGGTATTTATTAATTAAATTCTATTATTTTTTCAAAATATCCGAATTTATAAATATTCGATTTGAATTAATTAAGTATACCGAATCCATTATATTAGATAAGTCACTTAAGATTAAGTTATTTTAAATTTATTGATTAAATTAATAAATTTTTTATTTAAATCTGTTTCAAATTCAAATATAAAATATTTGGATCTTATGTAATTGGGTTCAATAATTCTAAATATTCGAAAATTAAATAACATCACCATCCCTGTTATTGTATGGGTTTCTTTTAAAGCAATTAATCAAACATTGAGGGTGATGATTCAACTCCTTTTGAGATGTGCCAGGATCGTGACCATGTAACCCTGGAAAGAATTAATTAGTTATCCAAGGGTATTTCGAAGGACAGCGGAAGGAGATGGTGGAGTAATAACCCATCCTGGTAAATGAGTTTCTGACCTGCAGTCAGGAGTACAGTAGAATTTTCTGGAAGAAAGAAATCTCTGAACTTGTAGATGGCTTGCTGGTGTTCGATGAAGATGAGCCATGGCGATTGCGTTATAGTGGAACTCTGACCCAAGACCTCGAGGGATTTCCAGCCCTGAAATTTCTCTTTACTACTTCTCTATCCCATTCTTGCTAGATAAAAGGACAAACATTCCATAGCTTCTCCATAATTGAAATAATGGATTATTGGATTAATCATTACAACATCGGATATGATCTTTGATCGAATATATTGTGAGTTTTTCTGAGTTTTTTGAAAATCGATTTTAAATAGGTTTTAAAATTATATTTATATGTTATTAAGATAATTATATAAATTATTTAATTAGAGTTATGATACAATACTATTATCTAGTTAGACTATTACACAGTTAGTTAGAATTAGATTAGGAAAAGAATTAAGCTTAAGATAGGATTAGGATTAGGATTAATGGTATATATATATACATACACATACATTGGTAACATTTAAAAAAGGAAATGGCTTCTTGTTTTATGAGACTGGAAGGTTTCTTCCCTACTGTTTCCCGATCAGCAAAGCGATCATCAAATGCCCCTCCTATCCCTTCTTCTTCGTCTTCTCGTTTCTATAGCTATGGCTTCCCTCTCAAAACGAATTCGTTTTCCGTATCCCACTCTCCTTTCACCACCAAAGCTTCTTCTTCTTCTTCTTCCTCCACCCCCATTGTCGAGCCTGAAGGAATGAAGATAAGTTCAGTTCCCACAAAGCCGATTGAAGGGCAGAAGACCGGGACAAGTGGGCTTCGGAAAAAGGTTAAAGTTTTTATGCAAGAGAATTATCTTTCAAATTGGATCCAAGCATTGTTTAATTCATTGCCACCCGAGGATTACAAGAATGGAGTCTTGGTTTTGGGAGGTGATGGACGATACTTCAACCGTGCAGCTGCACAGATAATTATCAAAATTGCTGCCGGCAATGGTGTTGGCAAAATATTGGTTGGCAGGGAAGGAATTATGTCCACACCAGCTGTTTCTGCTGTAATTCGGAAGAGGAAGGCCAATGGTGGATTTATCATGAGTGCAAGCCATAATCCTGGAGGCCCTGAATATGACTGGGGTATCAAGTTTAATTACAGCAGTGGGCAACCTGCACCTGAATCCATCACTGACAAGATATATGGAAACACCCTTTCTATTTCTGAGATTAAAATGGCTGAGATTCCTGATGTTGACGTTTCTCGTCTGGGGAGTTACAAAGTATGGAAACTTCAGTGTCGAAGTTATAGATCCAGTTTCTGACTATCTGGAATTAATGGAGAGTGTGTTTGATTTCCAGCTCATCAGAAGCCTTCTCTCAAGATCAGATTTCAGGTTTGTATTTGATGCCATGCATGCTGTTACCGGTGCATATGCGAAACCCATCTTTGTGGACAAGCTAGGAGCCAGCCCCGATTCTATATCGAATGGAGTGGCTCTGGAGGATTTTGGACATGGTCATCCAGACCCTAATCTTACATATGCAAAGGATTTGGTCAACACCATGTACAGTGAGAATGGACCTGATTTTGGGGCTGCAAGTGATGGGGATGGCGACAGAAACATGATTCTAGGTAAAAAGTTCTTCGTTACTCCTTCAGACTCAGTTGCAATCATCGCTGCCAATGCACAAGAAGCAATCCCATACTTCCGGAATGGTCCTGTGGGTTTAGCTCGATCCATGCCAACTAGTGGTGCACTCGATCGTGTTGCGGAATTATTGGGTCTTACCTTCTTTGAGGTTCCCACCGGCTGGAAATTCTTTGGAAATCTTATGGATGATGGGAAGCTGTCAATCTGTGGTGAAGAAAGTTTTGGCACTGGTTCTGATCACATTCGCGAGAAGGATGGCATATGGGCTGTCTTAGCATGGCTCTCAATTATAGCATATCGAAACAAAGACAAGAAACCAGGGGAGAAACTGGTGTCTGTCAGTGATGTTGTCAAAGAACACTGGGCAACATATGGAAGAAATTTCTTCTCTAGATATGATTATGAAGAATGTGAATCCGAAGGTGCTACTAAAATGATTGAATACCTTAGAGATCTGGCCTCTAAGAGTAAGGAAGGAGCCAAGTATGGAGATTATGTCCTTCAATTTGCTGATGACTTTGCATACACTGATCCTGTGGATGGAAGTGTGGCCTCAAAGCAAGGTGTTAGATTTGTTTTCACCGATGGTTCAAGGATTATATTTCGCCTGTCGGGAACTGGTTCAGCCGGTGCTACCATTCGAATCTACATCGAACAGTTTGAACCAGATGTTTCTAAACATGACATGGATGCCCAGGTCGCACTGAAGCCATTAATAGATTTGGCATTGTCTGTGTCAAAGCTGAAGGACTTCACAGCAATGGAGGAACCTACAGTCATCACATAATTGTATTTATGTACAACTATTTACTAATAAATCATATTTATAGGAGAATATCGAAATCCACTCTCTCACCTATTGTTACTATTTGGATTATTTAAACATTGGTTAATTCTCGCAACATATAAATATACTCTTTAACTCTAGTTAAGTTTAAGAATTAGAAGCAAACTGCTCATCAATAATCATATACTAATTAATGAGCTAAATGCTATGATGCAAGACATAAATAATTACTTGATAAAATAGTATTTTTAATCATCCGTTAAGAAATTTGCTTCTCTCGAAATAAGGCTAAGGCTTAATCACTTGATTGAGTGGTATTCCTAGTGAAGCAGCAATTAATTACAAAGTAGAGAATAATGATAAAATTTGAGGAGATACATGTTCATGCTGCTAGGTGCCTCCACTGCTTCTTACTTAGTTCCCAATTCCATTGATCATTGCTCCATTATTAATTTGCTGCAATTCATTCTCACCATTTTACACCTATTGCTTTCATAAACTCATTTTTTCTTAAAAAAACAAAATAAAACAATTTTCTTGTCTCAATTAATTTCAAATAAAATCATATTTCTTTCTTGTACTTGTCAAATCCGAATCCAATCCAACCTAGTTTGAAATCCAAAAAAATCTAAAGTCCTCACCAGCTCTAACTCAAAATGATCCAAACCCAAATGATTTGAATCCAAAACAGCTTGAATTTAAATTGATTTTCCTTTAAAATTCAATAATGTGAATTCAAAATAAACCCGACCTAATTAATCCAAGAATTAAACCCAAATGATTTGAATCCGAAAATGATCCGAACCTGAAATGACCTATATCTAAAATGATCCAAAGCCAAAATGACCAGAATTTCCTTTGATCCAAAATGACAGTATCGTTGCTCAAACATTATATATCTTCTCTAAGAAAAGAAAGAAACAGGAAAGAAAAAGAAGGGCAGCCAACAAAATTACCAAATACAACCTTATAGAACTGTTGGTAATTAGCACAGAAAGGTTGAATCCCAGCATGGCAATGCAGGAAATGCAACAACTTTTACCTGCTTTAAAATCAATTAGCTAAGATGGATTAGCCTAAGGACTTTTTCGCATAGAATTCATAATGATTCATTACAGGTCAGCTGGCTTGTTGCTTTAGCACTGGCAAAACCATTACAAGCATTAAGTTAAATTCCCAATTTCTTGTTTCTGCTAGATGCCCTTTGTTAGATCCTATGCCTATCATAACTACATTTAAAAGAGCTAACTAGGTCACACGACTCCACACAGCCCGTCCCTGGCCTCTCCCACCATGTTCGTATCCCCTTCCATATCTAGAACCCTGTGACCAGCCACCGTGCCCTGCTCTCCGACCACCACCTCCACCACGATTAATTTGGATACCGCCAAATGTCTGAAACATCCATCATCAGGCAAAAGTCAAAATCAAATAACCAAGCATAAATCTAACAGTGGAACAGACCATGAGAGCAAACTACCTCTGCATCTAATTTCTTCTGCTCAGAAAACTTAGACCTTCCTTTCTTTGGCTCACGATCAAATGTACTTGAAGAAAGAGAATCAAAAAACTCATCCTTAGCATACACAGGCTGTGAAACAGAGGGCAAGAAGGTGTTACCATAAACGAATAGAAACCAGATTAAACATTGCTTAAACATATATAACAAAAATTAGAGTAACAACCAATTCTAGCAATCTCACCTTTATGTCAGCTTTTAGCAGTACTTCTGCATCTTCATGTTGTCTATCATCTTCCTGACTATCATCTGCATCCCCATTGTCTTCTGATACACCTTTACTACTTTTGCCAAATTCATTCCAGACCTCCTCTTTGTTGAATTTCTCATTCATTGCCTCAAAATCAAAATCCTTAGGGTACTCGGTAACAGAGCGTGAAATCTACAAATCAAAACATTTAGCAATTATAATAGCTAAACATAAATTTGAGGATGATCTCTTCCTCTTAATAGGCATCTCTCAAAAACAGTAAAAAGGATAGAGAGGATTGGAAGAACAAAGTGATCTTCTCTATAATAACCTGAGCCTCTTTAGCAGTTCAACTGCATGTCCATTTTTTCAAACCTAAAAGAGTCGGTTCAGCTTCAACATTTTTCCTTTTTCTAAACGCAAGATGCCCTACTGCAGTCTTATACAAGTGGAATGGGGGTACCAGTTTGGAACATAAGGTGTGTGGAATGTGGGATTGAGGATGCCTGTGTCAATGGAATTTAATCTGAGTGTAGAATTTTGAGCCCACATGAAACCAGAGGAAGTTAGAGAATCAGGACATCTGGATCCAGTATTAGATAATTTATTTTCAGCAAGTTTTTTTACCACAGCTTTGCTTCAAATCCTATGTTAAGAAGTTTGATTATTTTGAACAACGCATACTGAAAAAGCAACATTGAGTCAGAAAAGATCCCAAAAATATTGCCATATAGCATAGATTAATAATTGCATAATTCAAATTTAGTGCTGAAAGAGTTGTATGGCTTAGACTTTCAATTTGAGGGGAAATCTTTCTAATTAACCAATTGCTTATTAATTGATCATTCCCTCAACAGTTTAATTCTATTCCAAGCTTTATTGTCTCTGATGCAAGTAAAATATCATATTAATTAGTAGGCTAAAGTTTTGGCCTTTCAGATCCAATGACAGGTATAAGTTTCTAAAGTGTTCTGAGCTACTAATTCGTAATTTAAAAAAAAAAAAAAAAGGAAAAGAAACCACAAAAAACACATTTATTACCCTGTTTGTTCTTCCTTGCGCACTGCCCCGGCTACCATAATAAGGGCGAGGAGCAGTTCCATTCATCTAGGAGATTAAGAATCCACATAAAATTTATCAAAATACGGAAAGTCAGTTAGAAGACAATAACTGTAAGTTAAAAGGAAAACAAATGGAGTACTACCTTTTCCATTCCCCCTGTGTGGCTTCTGTTACTGGGTTGAAAGTGTGATGCAGTTCCATACAACTGAAAGGGAAAATGAGGTAGCACAAAGACATATAATGGAGTTCCCATGATATATAAGTCCATCAGAGGTAAAGTGAAGTTCTGTAACTCAAAGAAGCTAAAAGAATTACCCCATTTCTTCTCCCCCTTACATGGACCTTATTAGTGTTGTGAGACTGCAAAGTAACTCTATTGGACTGGAAGGTATATAGAACAATTCCAAACAAATATGTGAAAATGTAAATGATTGACAGAAGGTAAATACCAATATTCATAGAATATAAAGAATATAAACTGTATTTCCTCATTACATTGTTTTCTCTTTCCTCCACATGGCCCTTAATAATTCGGTGAGTCTGTGACGTGGCAACATATGGCTGTAAGGAAACAGCATGGGAGCAAAGATCAAACGCCATATCATGAACATAATATAACAAAAGCTGAACTGAAAGACAGTAAATATTGAATATACATGAAGAAAAAAGCAAGAAGTTGGAAAATAGGAAACAGAATAATTGTACCTAATATATTACAGAGATTTGGCACATTCAGATTAGTGAATAAAAGGAAATAAAAAAGGAAGAAAAACTAAAGCAATCTCCATTAGTTGGAAATTGAAAAATTCATGTAGTCATGTAAATGTTCAAAACAGACGATTAACCAACAAACCCTAAACAATTAATCATGTTAACCAAAAACAACAATAAGTAGGAAGCAAAAGCAAGGCAATTAATTATCAAAAAGAAAATTGACACAAAATTGGATATAATAACACATGTTTATCCAGAAAATATGATAAATAAATAAGTAAAATGGGTTAACCCAAATCCTCTAATTGATCCCCAAATAATCATGCAGAATAGTAGATGCAAGAGAGAAATTTGCATAAGTAGCCCTAAGAAATATTGCAAAGGAAAAGAAAACCATACCCAAAGGACTTAAGGAAGAGTGGCTTAACATTAGGCCAATTAACAGGACAACACAAGACACCTCAATCATTCTGTGTATTAAGGATATTTATTAAGAATTATATTATTCCCCCGCCCCGCATGCGAAAAATAAATAAATTCAGAAAAGAAGCCAGTTAACCTCATGTATGAGTTGCTCAAATTTGATTTAATAACATGGTCAAAATAGCAGCTTCAAAATTGATAGGTATTCATGGAATTTAACACTCCAGTATATATTCAGTTAAAAACTAAAATTTAACCTATCAAAATTTAAGAAAAGCAACATCAATGTGCCTAAATGCAGCTTCAAAGATTAAAGAAGATTGATACATTACCCCATTTCTTCTTCCCCAAACAAGCCCCTTGTCATGGTGTTGAGAATCCAAAGAAGCTTCATTCATCTGTAAAAGCAAAATGCATCAGGATTCCAAATCACAGTTTAATTGCAGAATGAAAATACCATAATATATATAGAAGCAGTATGTATTATGTGTAGCCAAAAGTAGAGAAGAAAAATATCTGCATACGTAGGATATTAAGAACAATAACCCTGAGAAATATCTAAGGTAGCTACAATGCACGCATGCACAGACGCAGAGATGTATCACTAACATTTCCAGATTGACAGTGCACCACTCGAATACAGTTGTTATCTTACTGATCTTGACATTGGGAAAGACAATGAAGAAATACCTTTCCGGATGATACTGATGCTGTGGGCAAAATTGGTGCCTGAGCCTCGTCTGCATCTGTTGACAGTGGTTCTAATGTTGATGTTTGAACCACCTCAATATCTTTCTGAGCAGTTTGGAGGGGAAGAGATGAAGAAAGTACTGTGGGTGGACTAGTGGGTGCGGACTGCAAAAGCTGGCCTTGGGTCACTAGAGAAGGAGTTGGTACCTCAGGATGATTTGAGCCAGATGTCCCAACAACAGGAGGTTTAGCTGTGGGCATATTTGGATAAGAGGAAGTGGAGCCAAGAGTTGATTTAGATTTCTCACCGAATTGAAGAGCAATATTATTTGTATCCACAGAAGAAGTCAAGGAAGATGCTAATGGCAAGTTAGAACTCAATGTTAAACCAGGAGCATTAGGGTCATAACATGCAGTGTAATTTGATGCTTCATTAGAAACTAATGAAGCAGCATGAATAGGAAGCTCAGAGGGCAAAGCAGAGGAAGAGATTGATACAAATGTAGAGTTTAGGGTGCTAGCACCTGAAGGTGGCAGCACTGTGTGGTTCTGGGAGCTAGCACTTGAAGGAGGCAGCATTGTGGAGTTCTGGGCGCTAGCACTTGAAGGTGGAAACAATATGGAATTCTGGGAGCTAGCACTTGAAGATGGAAGCAATGTAGAGTTGAGGGAGCTAGCACTAGGTGGCAGTAAGAGATGAGGAATTTCTGGCAAGTGTGTTGCACCACTCGGAATAGATGCATCTACGGTGGAATGTTGCGTCTGCTGTATCCCAGGTGATGCTAACAAGCCAGGTGGTGGCCGAAGCAAAGACGGCTGTAAATAAGAATAACCTCCTGAGGGCCCATTCAATCCTTGCCAATACATTGGCATAGTATGCTTGTTGCTGTTTACAGTGGGAGGAGTTGAAGAACCCCAAGAAACCATATGTCCCACAGGCTGATATTGAGGCACACTGCCTTGGAAATTTGAACTTGGAAGTGCCAGCTGTGAATTGGAACTAAAACTTGTCATAGAACTAGTACTAGAATGTGGCAAGCTTGAAGATGCAGCAGGATGTTGATAATGAGACTGCAAAAGGTGTTACATTAAATAAATTATTCTTCATCTACAGCACAATGGGTACAAAACTTTCTTGTTTAAATTTCATGCCTGAATGATAGCAGGATCATCAGGTATGGCTGCCACACTTTGCACAGACAGTGAAGACAAAACTTGCAAATCCTGATAGAGCAAGGACAAAAGGTACAACTCAGAATCCACTCAAGGTGTAAGTCCATAAAACAAGATAAAACACTTACAGATTTAGGCAAAATTATTATTCTCAAAAAAAAAAAAAAGAGCAAGAATTAAAAACCTATCATATCTATTACAATCTCAAAACCACAGTTGCCGATAAGAATGCAACCAGAGTATTAATTATACAGACCAAGTTACAAAGTTTCACCTAATTTAACACCATCTTACAGCTACAAAATAGAATTCTATGACTATGGACTCAGTACATTCCATGCAGAACACAGACCACATACGAAAGGCAATCTACTCAAAGAGCCTGTCACCTGAAAACATAGGCTCTACGCTGTGAACTTAGCCTCTTGTGCAAACCCTTAAAACCAGAATCCACTAATATCAAACAGTACATAAGAGACAAAGCTGTTCTTTATTTCCATGTTCAAACCCGACCCGAATTGTGTTTACCAGGGAAGAACACTGCTTGCTAAATCTCTAAACAATTTTTCTAACTTCCATTACAAAACATCTCAAACATAATTTCCACAACCCAAAGTGAAAAACTAATTATTGTTAAACTTCCAGTAATAATAACTATTACCAAAGTGTCAGTGCCATTATTTATTATACCTTAATGTCGCTTCCTCGGAAGTATATGTAATCATAAACTTTGTCGCTTGGAAGAACCTGCGGCCCATCCTTCTTTCGTCCCTCCGTACCAAAAGATCTTACTGCAAGGAAAAAAGGAAATGCAGATATCATCAAATTCCATTTCTTATAATCTTCGCAATTTGATGCAAAAATGTGATCGATTCTTTCCGTCACAGAAAAGAAATCCCGAAACCATTTCTTTCCTTTCTTTTTCTTTATTAAAATTATAAAAGAAAGATACCCAAATTAATCGTACACTGCAAAAGGAAGAAAGGAAGGGGAAGAAGAAAGAATGGGGAAGCAAAACGCACCGTTTTTGAGGCCAATGGAGGATTCGTGAGGGTTGATACGGAAAAGAACGCCTTCGTACCGGATTTCGGACTTGGAAATAAGGCTTATGAAGCTTCCGACGTAGGAATCCGCTGATTGGGAAGCCTCTGTCGTCGCCATTTTCTCTCCTTTTTAACGGAAAAAAAAAATTAAGAGAAAATGGAAACAAAAGCGTTTCTTTCTCTTTCGTAAATACACAGAGATATAAAAACAAAAACGAAAGTTGTTTTTGGCGCAGTAGTAAAGTTCTTTGCATAAGCCCAAGCAGCAACTATATAATTAATTTAAAATATTTAATTATTATATAATTGATAAATTTATATAAAACTTTTTTATTATAAAACATATTGATTACCTATTAATTTCATATAAATAAAAAATAAAAATATATAATTAATGTTAATTAATTATAAAAATAAACATATTGATTATCTAAAACTTCAATTTATATTTAGTGACATGGAGAGTTTTCACAAGTAAATGATGATATTATCGACATATCAGAGTAAACATAAAAGCTATCTTAGACCTATTATTTTCATCACTTATTCATGGATTTATAAATATTCTAACATATATGTTTGTTTCCCTTCCTCACTGAGTTGATGATCATTGAATCTGTGAAACTCACTCCCATAAATTATTATACAGATAAACAAATAGTTAGGGATATCATTAGCGAGATACTCTCTCCAGCTGTGTAGGTAAATGGCATTTCCTAACTTTCTCTTGTGTCATTCCACTGTCAAGTCGTCCAATCACTTTCAATTTAAAGAAATGTTGTATTTAAATATATAAACATGGGATATTCCATAACTTATCAAACATATTTTTTGAATTGAGAATATGGACTCGTGGATCTAACATTGTGCAGGCTGATGAACCATATAGAGATATATCATCAAAACAGGGAGAGTCAACTGCTCCAGCCAACTCAGCCAGGAATATTAGTTATTAAGACAACTACTTTACGCATAACATGCAATTTCAAGAACTTTCGAATTGGCGCAAACTTTTTCATCCATAAATTACCTTTAAACATAGTATGATTACAAATGCGAAAACTGGTTCCATGCAAAAGAAATTTTTAGTTCTTTAACCATAACCAAAGTTTGCTAGGTTCTACTAAAAGCCAACACCCTTCACTTCTCCTGGAGTTGCTTGCAGGGTATTATCGCCTTTTCCCAAAACTAAAACCCGACCTGCAAAATCCACAGCAAAGATTGCGATAAAAGTCAAGGAGAAACTCGTTATGGTGCAAAACTGTGAAGTTATTTGTCAACTTGCCTTCACCGAAAATAAAAAAGCACTAATCTCCTATCATTTCATCTGTGAACTAGTAAACCAAGAGCAAAAAAATGGAAAAAAAAAAGAAAAAGGAAGGATTATGCCAATAAGCCACAAGATAACCTAAATTTAGATTCATCCATGCATGGGACAGTCACCATTCATCAGCAGAAAAGAAAAAAAAAATCGAGTGAGATGATATTGTTCTCATAGGCACAGCTGTGACCATTTTGAATATTATAATGTAGGATCTATACCTTTTACTAAGGTTGCAAATAGAATAACAAACCGATTTGAATATATATAACCCACAACCTATGTAGAAGAGTAATGCTATTAAACTTTTTTCGAAGGAAAGTAATACAAGTAAAATTTGATGTGCTTAAAAACAGAACAAAAGTCAAAACGCATTCATGGGGTCAACAAACCAAAAAATTAATGTTCAATCATCAAAACCACTCGCCATTTTGACCAATAGTGACACATTAGAATGTTTGGTTTTGTCAAGTGGGGAAATAAAACATGGCATGACATGTTAATCAGAAACAAATTCTCATTACTCATGTCAAAATCCATATTAAAGCACCAAAAACCTCTTAGGATAAAAAGAGAATCTTGAGAGAATAAGTATAAAGTTTTTTTTTTTGGTAGTAAATACTCAATAGAGCAAGTAACTAGTTCAGTTCAGATATTTTCCTGTCCATCCTTGGAGCATATTAAAATAAAGAATGAAAGATATAATATACATACCATTTCGACGAATGGAAACCTCTCGAATCCGACGAACCAGACCAGTGATTGGGTCAGTGAAGATTTTTGTCTCCAGATTTCCCTCCAAATATAAGGTCATACTACATCACCCAAATGGAAAAAAATAGGGAGAAGAATATTAGAACCTAGATCAAGAATGAAGACAATCAACAGCTGATATAATCATGACAAGGAGTTGCAGTCATTAGAATATAAGGCCATGCTCAAAACCAGATTACAATATCGTTCAATATCCCACCCATCTGAAAGGACTGATTAGACTCTTCATTTTAAATTTTATACATTAACAGAACCAATGACCACAAGTGTTGATATTAAAAACAAATCTCTATGGAAAACAGGTCTGCTTAGAAATGATCCAGCAAAGTCTCCGCACTCAAGAACATTCAATACACAAAGCCATTCATTAAGCAATCTTTCAAAACCAACTATTCTCTTGGCATTGACTGGCTAATGAGCAATGGTTCTCCCAAGACTCCAGACGTTTGGCTTTGACCATCTAATTAGTCAGTTCACAGTCATTTGACGATACAGTGCATAGCATCTTTTAAATATGTTCTGAGTCATATATCCATGCTGATAAAAGGAAGATATTTTGCTAACGACAACCTTATGATGCAATAAAGGAGTCATTACTAGGAAAATTCTGCATCATTCGATTATCTTCAATGTCAACTTAATCCTCATTCTTGTACTTACCCTTCTCATGCATTTCATACTCATTAAGGATGGCTTAGCCTGCAACAGTTTCAATAAAGGGACTATCCAATTCTAGATGTAAATAGATTTTTTACGCTCTCTGAATTTGGTAGTGGATAACTGCACAGTTATCCAAGAATTAGCTATAACAGAGCATTGCAAGACAACTTCTTCAAAAACAAAATGCCTAATAACTTTAATGAATTGGTCATGTCAGAGCATCCAGCCATCGTTTACAGAATGCTTCTGTTCCCTACATCAAGGCAATCCCGTTCATTGACCCCTGTGCTAACTTTTGCAGATAACAAGGGTCATTGTTAGAAATGGCGGTAAGGAATGAAACTCAAAGGGAGAAGAAAATGGACATCATCCAAAACCAAAAGAAGCATTTCAGCATATTAAGTAATATGAAAGAAGCTTAGAATAAAACCTCACCCAGGCACAACATGTTTCATGAGGAGCTCTCCCAACTTCTCTTGGTAAACACAAATTCGATGCCACTGAACAGCACAGCGGTTGGCATACTCCTGCGGTTCCTCATTCTCGTACGGCCTCCTGTTGTTGCGAATCCCACCTGTCGCCACTGAAAACATTGTAACCGCCAATCCATTCTTCAGTTTCTTCTGCACGGGGGTCTGCCCTACCTGTCCGACCAATATTGCCTACAAAAAAAAAAAAAACAAAACGTCCAGAACCACTCTGAGTTAACGTTTGGAACACAGCTCCAAAACAAAATATTTCAACCTCTAACAGCAGCTGCGAAATGCCCATATTAAACTCAAAAGGACAACTGTTTGAATATTCATCCAAAATTCCAGAAACCCAAAAAAATCCATACGACTTCCTTTTAATTTAGCTACTGCCAAAAGCTTTCCTAACAAAAAGTTTCGAATTTGAAGAATAAAGTTAAGAAGAAAAGAACCCAAAACCAGTAGGGTGAAATTGACTGCACCTTATAAACGCCCACATCGAGGCCATTCTCAAGCGAGCCATCGTATAAGCGTCTGTGGGAGTTGGAGTCCTTGTAAGATTCCGACGGCGTTGAGGGCTGAGATGGAGTTGAGTAGGGAACTGAGTCACTGTCCGAGTCGGAGCTCGTAAGGAGCGTGAGCGAGAGTGAGATGGAAGAGAGTGTGGGTGTAAGAAGAGGCAGTTGAAAGTGTTGAGGGGTTTTGGGTTGCAGAGAAGAGATCGATAAGCAATTCTTGATAACTGCCATTGATTTCGCCATTTTTCCTTTTGGAAAGAATATCAAAAGGAAATGGAAATTCTGATTGGGGTTTTAGAGTGGCTTAAACCTAAGTGACATGAACTCAACTCAATTACAGTATATGGTACAGTGCCGTGAAATGCATAAACTAATTAATTTTTACGTCATATTTATGATTAATTAAAACTCACAATTTTGTAATTAAAAATAAAAAATCGTGAAAAAAAAGATAAAAATAAGAAAGTAAAAGGAAAAATAAATAATAAATGGATATACTAATCTTTTTGTTTAAATATTTTATTTAATAAAAATACAAATAACAATCTTCAAATTCTATTTATACAATTATAAGCATAATTATTAGAAGTAGACTGGATCCAATAATTGCTAGTTAATGTTAAGTGTCGAACTTTAAACTCAATTTCGTATAATTTTAAATTTTAAAAATAAAATTTAAATAAATTTTAAAATTATAAAATTAATAAAAATAAAAACAAAGAAGACAAAGCTTTTGAGAAATATAATATTTTGAATTTCACTAAAAGGTGTGAAGATATCTATTTATAAACTGATAGTCTTTTTTATGGATAAGTTTAAAAAGACATTTTAGGAATCACATATAACATTTTTACTTTTCATATTAACTTAATAATATCTATAAACGGATATGAAAACTTAATTGAATATAATAAAAAATAAAAATTTATTTATATTTTTTAAGTAATGTATGAGCCTTTTTGAGTATTATGTTTTTTTTTTTAATCTTTTTCCTTTTAATAAAAGAAAAAATCCGGAAATCAGGACCTCATGTTCTAACTCAAGCGATGGCCCATAGCAGGCTCAGCGAATTGGGAGTATGTCTTAGGCACCATATAAAAACAAGGCATTTCTTGGATTTTGGATGGATTGATTCACCATTTTTCTTATCCTCAAAAATCTCTGCAAAGAGAAGCATATCAAACAGAATTTCATCTGCAGCAGCAGTAACAGCAGAACTCTCTTGAGGCAGTGAAGATAGAATCCCAAAAGGAAAGGAAAACTGTTAAAAGCAGTGAAATAAGCAGAGAAATGTTACAGAGCCCAAAATTTTTACAATCCTACCCACCATTACTTCACCCTCCAACTGCACCAGCTCCCCTTCCACAACTCCCTACCTTTCCTGCTTCCCCTTCTTCCCCCATTCTGAGACAGTTCAAATTATCAAGGCGAGAGCTTACAATTTCCGGCAACTCTTCACTGCTTCTCCTGTTAGGTTCCCAGGCTCTGGAACAACACTATCCATCCAAGGCTCAGGCTGTAGAAATTCCAACGGAAGACAATCGACAGGAGCAGAATGTTAACACTACTAGTCTTGATTGCAGCAAGAAAGTTTCTACCAAACGAGCTTTTCTTGATATAGCCATTGATGGAGAGCCTGTTGGTCGCATTGTTATTGGACTATATGGGGATGATGTTCCTGCTGGGGCTGGCAGGTTTAGCAGTATAGTTAGTGGAGCTGCTGGAATTAGCTACAGAAGGAAAGAGTTCATTAAGATCATGCCAACTACGTGCAACATGGTGGGTTGAGATCTTTCGGTGTTGATGCCGAGCTTGCGAAGAGAACTGGAAGCAGTCTGGGTCCTGAAAATCTGAGGGAGGAGTGGAGAGGTGTATGACGAGTGTCCAGGAGTAAAGAACTTGGCTGGATCGGTGAGCATCATCGTCAGGGATCCTCTAAACCGCCTCCGAAACTGAATTGGTTGCTCGAAAGGGGAAGCTGGAGGTTGATCAGGAAGAGATTGGAACAGAGCCGAATGGTACAGAGTTTGTGATTGCTATCAAGGATTCACCAGAACTGGATGCTTCAGCTCTCGTGGTTGGGGAAGTCTTGGAAGGAATGGAGGTTGCAAAGAGAATTGGACAGGTCAAGACTGTGCAAGAGAACACCGGTTCCCCTTATTTCAGGTATGCTTTTCAATCATGGCAATATTCATGGTGCTCTTCTTAGCAACTTCATAAAATAGCATGTAGACTTTGGAGCTAAGAACCCAATAAATGTCATGACTCTGTTATACATTCATCTTAAAAAGAAAGTGTTCTATGTAACTCTATTCTTGTTCTTCCAAATTCAACGATTTCAAAGAAAAAAATAACAAAGAAAAGTAAATTTCATCTAAATTCTCAAAATTTATTAATTTAATTTAAGTTCGTTATATTTGAAAATGAACAACATTTCGGATCAAAACAACGAGACCTCCATTAACAGATGTGTACTTGTTTTTGTTGAGCAGGGTGGCCAAGCTAATAGGTGATAAAAGAGCAGTCGTGGCAGAAAGAGGCTTCAATCGCCCCTACTCGAAGGTGCTCATCACAAACTGTGGCTTGATGGACTGAACCATATCCCATTTGCATATTGCTCATATCCCTTCAATTTTGAGTGAAGAGTGACCTGTTCTATGCAATAAACTAAGTATTTCTACTTCTCAACATGTCAATCCAAAAATTTGATTGAAACTCATAAGCTGTAGTATGGCTGTCAATGGGATTTTAAGCTTTAATCTCAAGCAGTAATTTGGCTGTAAATAGAGGATGGGGGACTAAGACAACCACAACAATAGATATTAGATACAACATATTTTAGGTTTGAAGAAGGGTGGAATTGAGATACATGATTGCCATCCTAGCATACACATGAAACAAGGGAAGTCGAATCTCCGGTATCTTTGGACATTCATGATACACCGGAATAAAAGTACAAGCAGCAATTTTAGCTTGATTCCTGGGTTCTTTGGTCTTTTGGCTATAGGAGACGTGAACAGCTTTCTAACTGATGCAATGGGATCATCAACCTGCAGAATAAAATCCTCTAAAGATTATAATAAAGCAATGGACAGTATTTGATCGAACACAATTAATTTTATCTTAAATGTTGACATATATCTGGATTCATCAAACGGAAGAGGATATCCTTCCTCAATCACCATGTATAAGCAACAGTTCCTGTAATCAAAGAGCTGCTGTCCGTGTCTCAAAACCTAATTATTTTTTATTTCAACAGATTCGAAATATAGAGTAGGATAGAGGTCAAGTAGGAATAAGCAGTATAAATAATTAAAAGTTAAAACCAACAGCAAACATACAAACTAGTATCAAATACTTCCATTTTAGCACCAAAAATATGGTAACACCTCCTTTACTTGAGTAGAAGTAAAATTTTAACTTACCTTAATCAGAGAAGCAGATGAAGTAGAACATGTAGGTGAAGAACGAGGAAAATTTTTCCCGCCTAGCAAAGCAGATAATGTTTGTTTCCATCCAGGTGTGCTGCTACCTGCTGATGCAATCCATGGACAAAAGTGTCTGTGCTGCCTTATTGGATCAAACTCTGTTATCTTATCCATGCACAGTTGCTTTAGATCCTTTCCTGCAAAATGGAGGTAGCAGTTTATAAAACCACCCTTAGATTTAATGACAAAATCTCATAGAATCAGACTATCAGAGAAAGATAGGTATGTAACAATTACAAATGCCACAAACACATAAACCAGCTACATGCTATATATCAAGAAGGTTACACTTTCACAATTAACCACCTAGACAGCAAGATTCTTATAAGGGGGCATCCGAGCATTTGACTCATTGGTTGGTGCATGATTTCCCTACTTAAAGAGCAGGGTTCAAATCTCTTCCCAACCCCCCCCCCCCCCCCTCCCTCCCCACAAAAAAAAAAGGTTCTTATAAGGCGGGAAAATAGGAAAAGAAAATAATTTTTCATGCAGCTAATGGATCAGCCTTCCAGGCAGCACTGAAACTGAGAAAGATCACAAAGCTTCTAGCTGCTCTAACGACGGATTTCTAGTATAACATATTTATGCATTACTAGCAAACCAAGGAGAAAACTTGAATTCAACTCTGGCTAAGTTACACAACAAGACACTATTGCAGCTTTAAACATTCCAGAGATGGTATTGTGAATGAACATCAACATGCCATCCCAGTGGCAATGAAGTGCTTGAGTGCAATCCAAGTCAACAATTGCCACATGATTCTTGGAGCACTATCTTCCATCAGTCCAGTAAGAACTTGAAATGCTCCAATAGCAGATCCCTCGATAAAAAATAGATCAAAGAGAAATGATATTAAAGTCCATCACCTCAAAATTTAAAGCAACCTATAAAGATAACCTAAACTGCCACCAGCACCGTAACCTAAGCCTCATTTCAATCAAGTACTGTCTTTGAATAATCATATATCGAGAAATGTATATGTTGATGGCTATGTTTCTTTCCATATATGCATCAAGGCACATGTTTAGGAAGATTCTTCTACATGACAACCCTAGCACGTCGTCTACCCATCCAACAAGTGATCTATCCTCTCATCTTGTACTTGAATAACTAGAGGGAGAGTGTTATTTCACAAATGGTGAAAGTGTTATTAGTAAAGCCATTGATTTTTAACTAGGTGCTTGGTTGATCAAAAGAAATTACAGAAACCATTTTGGAATCTATAGAAAAAGCGAAAAACTAGACTCTAGGTGTTTAACTTAACTAAGTGTATAAGAAGCATGAATAAGTTTATAATTGACAAGATATGTTGGAAACAAATAAAACTTGGCTTCCCATACTCTCATAAATCTAGGAAGATAACTTTGGTCTCTTTGGGCTTTTCTGTACTTCGCAATTGGAGCATTCTTCTCACATGTAAATAAATTTCATATTTGTCAAACATCTTCTACAAAAAACTAGAAGAAAGCTCCAACACCTACTAATTTCACAACTTCTAAACAGGAAAATATAGGACAACTTAAATGTTCAACTTGGAGCATAGAACTGAAATTTCAACCTCTCTTAGGTGTGAAAGCCACAAAATGGTAACAAGTAATCAGTATATAAGGCAAGAATCTTACTAACAGAAAAAGATAGTTTAGCAAATTAGATTACTGCTTCATTTTCTATTAATCAGCTGGTAAGCAGATAAGTCATATATAAATCACTCACCCTCAGATAGACCTTAAAAGAAATTGATGGGTGAAACAGACCTGACATGCTACAGGTATAGAAAATAGATTTTTCATAGGAACATATTATATAGGCAGAAAAAGAAGTTCATCCTAATAAACTTGATGTAACATAAGAGTGAAATAGTATATTCTCCAACTGAAAATATACATGCAGTTTAACTTCATAATCTATAAGCAATAAATAATCAGTTAAAAGCATAACAAGCCCCGAAATAAAGGGAATTAAATAACAATAGAGCAAAAAGCATATTGATAGTGAAACTTTCATTTTATTAAAGGTTATTTTTAAAGAGCACCAAGGGGTGAGGACAACAAATAATAATGCTTACCTTTGGCACAGGCTAAGACCTTATCGTTTTGTGCAGTCTGCCTTCCAGCAATTACACCTTCCTGGCTATTAGCATTTGGTGCATCAGAACAAGTTTTGTCTTCTCTGGAGTTCATCTTGTATGTGCCATCAATATTTACATCAGCTTCCAAGCCAGAGGCAGCACATGTAGACTCTTGATGATTAGATAAAGAAATTTCTTTATTGCAAACCTTATCTGATTCTGCAATTTGTTCTGGATGGCACTTTTCAGATGTCATCATCACTGATGAATCATTATCCCTAGTTCCTGCATTTCCAGGGAACCCATTAGCACCTTGGGTCATAACAGAAGACTCTCCAACTTGCAAAGTACCAGAACCAATTATTGCTAAAATACCAGATCTATTATTATAGTCTACATTTTGTGACAATTCATTACTTTGGCAGGAACCTTGTACTACATTCTGAAAACTCTCTATTTGACCCCTCATATTAGAATCATACATACCATTATCAGGATAAGTTTCTTCTGCAGTCAAGCCGGTTCCTTCCAATGGCATGAGGTTTCTGAAAATATCATCTCTTGCACTATCTTGGTTTGAACAAGGGGATTGATCATTGCTTGTAGAATTACAATTCACTTGATCATCCTTTTCTTTATTTGAAGTTCTCATGTCTTCCAATAGCACAACTTGGCCTTCTTCTCCTTGAATCATATTGCAGTTGGCTTCTGGTCGAGCATCTTCCTGATTAATATGTATCTGCTCTCTAAACTCTGGATGATATAAAAGCCTAGCCCTTAGACTCTGGCCAATAACAGGCAGAGAGATTGTTGCTTTTATGTTTTGTCGTGTTGGCGGTGGACCCCCTGCTATAGTTAATTTTAAATTTGAAGATTGCTCCATAGATGATGACCCAACATTTGAAGCAATGGCAACAACCCTCTCACCAACATTGCTTTCATGGCCTGAGTCATGGACTCCAGGATTGACTTCCGCATATCCAACAACTCTGAAGAACTCCACAGGCTGTTGAACAGTGGAGAAAGTCCATAATCCAACACTAGCACCACAAAGCCTGCAATCTAGAACAACAGACTTGGGATCATACTGCAATCTACAAGAATTCTCAGATTCTTTATTTGCCTCCAAATTTTCATTTTCATCAATAGAATGGATGCTGGGACTCGGATTTCGTCCATTATCAACTCCCTGGGATAAATTTAATATATCAGCATCTTTGACAACATGATTTGGACCATCCTTGCATTCAACCACATACGGGAGTGAACGTGGTTCCCAGCCACAAAGACTTATAAGCTTCTGTGCCTGCACATTTTCAACACTGTCACTCTTCAACACCAACAAAAATTCAAGAATACAGAAAACCACAGTCAATAACTGCAGGATGTATTATACTTGTGTCAGTCACAAATTGGAAACACCATACAATATTTTTTGCACTAGAAAGCAGAATTAGGAACAGTATAAAAATGCAATACATGAAAGTTTCAGAGTGCAACAAATGCATGCATACATGTGAGTGAGTGTGTGTGTGTATGTGAAATGAATGCAACTGAAACTGGCAAAAATTTAGAAATATATCTATTAGCATTACGAAACCTATAATTGCAAACCAAAATGACAAACAAGTGTCATACCTGATGATACATGTTAGTGGAATCCACATCAGATCCACTTTCAATAGTTTCCGATTGGGAAAATGCAGCACTCTCTTTCTGATAATCCAACATTAAGGGTTGTCTGAGGAATTCTTCCAGCTGAGGGCTTCTCATAAACTCAATGGCTGAAGATGAAATCACCGGAAGAGCTAAAATTTGACAGAGTGAACAAGATCGCTCCTTGAATTTCTCAACTAAATCAGCAGGCATAATGGGAGGAAATTCAGCCAGTCTTTCCTCGCAGGCAATGTTAATCCAGGGGCAAAGTAATTTGTGTCCACTATCCAGCTTTAAGCTAAACACCAAGGCTGCCTTCTCAACTGAAGAGCATAGAATAATACATCCCATTTAGCCGCAAACACAATATAATACTTTCTTTTACAATTACAAGAATTCGTTTAAAGAGTGATTGAGTGGAGTAAAATTAGATGCATGGCATGCCTTGCTGCTGCGTCCAAGAAGGTGGAGTGGAAAAAAGAAGACGCGCTCCGCATGATTCACAGGCAATAATATCCATATCTACATTGACCCAACCTCTCCTAGCACAATTTACAGCACTTACTACCTAATAACAACGGAAAAGACAATCATCCATTAACTCCCATCAATTTGAAAAAAAAAAAAAGGGTTTACTCAGAACATAGGAAATTAGTAACTAAGATAGAAAGAAAGAAAGAAAGAAAGAGTGGGGTTGGATTCTAATGAGTAAGCGAACCTTGGGCTTAGCAAACCAAGTCATGGATTTGAATGTCGATAGCCTCCTCACAAGGTCTCCTCTATCCCAGGGTCTACACAGTGGAGCTTCAGCCGTAACTAAGCAATGCTGGGGCTCTTCTAGCGCTAAAGCAGACGACGGATTGGGGCGTTTCTTGCCTCGTAACGATTGTCCTCCCAACGAGCTACCAAGTTTATCACAAATAAATATACAAAAAAAAAATTAGAACCAATAATATTAGAAATTCAAATTCCATCAACTAGACCCAAAAAGAAAAAGGAATAAAACCTGGAGTAGGAGGGAGTCGGTTTAGGGGAATGAAAGATCTTGTTCATGATCGAATGAAACCTCTCCTTTGAATTCTGCGCCATTATTTCTTTCTTTTATCTTCTTTTCCTTTATCAAAGAGAATGTAATCTGTTCGAGAGAGAGTTCCTTAGAAGAAGAAGAAGAAGAAGAAGAACGTTGCTCGAGCTTCGCCTTGCCGTATCCAGTTCGGCCTCGCTCGCTTTCCTTATATAATGTCTTTTCATCGGCAGCTTCCTACACGAACACCATGTAAGCTATGGTTCCAAATTGCCGCAAGCTTCCATGGGCCGGGCGGAGAATTTGCTTGTTCAGAGGTCGGGTCGGCACCTCAGAAGAGTTGAGTTGGGCCCAACTTCGGTTTTATCCATTTATATGATGTTTTAATGTTTAAAAATAATTAAAAACTTTATAATATTTTAAATATTAAAATTATAAATTATATAAAACTATTTATTTTGTGATTTATTTTCTAACTATTATTCTTAAAAATCGTAAAATTTAGAAGAATAAACTTAAATTTTGTATTTCAATAAAGAGATAACATTGGAAAAATGAATATTATTTTGAAACACTTAAAATAATAAGATGGATATTCAATTTGAAATAGAAGAATAATATCGAGCTACAAATGGGCGTAAAATTTTAAATCCAAATATAGTCCGAGTTAATCACATTTATCTTATAGTTGATGTATGTATCTCTATTTTTAAAAAAAATAAAGTTCTATCCTCTTTTCCCAAAATCAAAATAATAATAATAATAAGAAAAAATCGAAGTATATTGCAATAAACATTCATGACTTTTGTGAGATATTTCGATTTCATCCTCGACCTTTAAAACTCAATTTTTTTTATTTACAATCTTTACAAAAAAAAAATCAAAATTCAATCATTTTGTCAATTGATATCAAAATTAGATCAAAACTTGTCACTTTAACGCCTCATGAATGTCCATGTGGAATTAAAATTAAAATGTGATATGTGATTAAGATTGTCGTGAGAATGCGTGGATTTATTTTTTTCATTAATTTAATATAAATTATTACTATTAAAAATAAATTCATACATGATTAGATGATAATTTTAAAAGTTTATATTTGATATACTATTGATGTAGAGTATTTATATATTATTAGTTAATCACAACATGTCACCTCATAAAGTGTATAAAGATAAAAATTTAAAAGTCAATTGATAATGAATATTTTAAATTTATGAACATCTTAAATTTATGACATAATGATTGAAAAAGCCTTTTAATTATTTAAAAATATTCAACTAAATTTTTATTATTTTGTTAAGTTTGATCAAACCTCAATTCTTTTATTTTATATTAAATAAGCTTTTTTTTATTAATAAAAATTAATTAAAATGTCATTTATCTTTTTATATTGATGTAGAAAGTGAAAAATATTACAATATCATGTCATAATGTTATATCAACAAACCTTTTCATCATTCTGTATGTCATATTAATATTGCATGACACAAAATGACAAATAAAATTTTGAATACTAATAGTTTATTAATCATTAATGATAAAGATTTATTTAATTTAAAATAAATATATAATGATTTATTTAAATTTCTTTATATAATTTATAGTTTTTTTAAAAAAATATTATATCTAAATTAATTTACTATCAAAATAACAACATTTAATTTATTAATAATTTGTAAAATTACTTTGTATCAAATATAAATTCAATAGTAAATTATTGAAGGGAAGGTAGATTTGTGGACCACTGAACTCCGTTGGCAAAGTTGAGAACCTGAATCAGAGACGTGGCACCGAGAAGCGGCTGCCTATGTTTCTCTTATTTTGAACCTCACATAACTACGAAAATGACCCCCTTGAGAGTTAAAGACCATGCAAAAGCTTCCTATACTAAAAACATATCTGAATTATTGGTTTATTTTTTTGTAAATTTAGATGAAAGGAATTCGAATTTTGTTATTTTAAATAAGAGATTATAAATCAATTAATCAGTTAAATACTTTGAATTATATTTGTTTATATAATCAATTTTATATCATTTTATTGTATTTATATAAATTTTAAATCTCAACAAAAGAAACAGCATCAATTATTTTAAATTTGATTAATGTTTTTTAATTACATGACATTTAACATAATAATTAATGTGATCATAGATAATTGATATGAAATTAATCACTTAATTGTATGATCAAAGCACATTAGATAAAGTAAATTACATGATCATATAATTAACTCTCGTCTTATTTTAACGAGTAATAAATATTACAAGTATTGAAAACTTGTCTTACTCGAATTTTTATCTAAAAAAAAAAAACCCATCTAGCATTGACTTGATGGTTTAGATGATTTTACGTGAAACGTACACGTGTCAGAATCAGAGTGTGATAGCATGGAAATTTCAGTATTGCCCGAAGTGAGCACCGTCAATGGAGCAACAGAGGGGAGTGGATAAAACTCATATTAGCCCTTCTTTGGTCCTTCCAAACAAGATAACAAAACAAATCCGTTGCCTTTCTCCCTCCCCCTTGCATTCCTGCCTCCTCCATTTCTGTACCCAAAGGCCAAAACCCCCCCAATCCTCCCGCGTTCTCTGCTCTCTGAAGCGTAACGGAAATGGCAATTTCATCGACAGCAGCAGCGGCAGCCGCTTCTTCAAAGCTTAGATACCCCTACGTTTCCCCTCTCTCGACTCACTCCGCAACCTCCACAGCCAGTTTCTCCGCAAAATCTACAAAACTGACCCCAGCCCATCTCTCATCTTCCTTCCTCCCGCCTTTCCTCACCACTACCGCCACCAGCACCGTCATCCGCCGGCTCGGAGGGGCTCTCACCGTGAAAGCCGCGCGTGGCAAATTCGAGCGGAAAAAACCCCACGTCAACATCGGCACCATTGGCCATGTCGACCACGGCAAAACCACCTTAACCGCGGCTCTAACCATGGCCTTAGCTTCAATGGGTAACAGTGCCCCTAAGAAATATGACGAAATCGATGCCGCCCCAGAAGAGCGTGCTCGTGGTATCACCATTAACACGGCCACCGTGGAATACGAAACCGAGAACCGCCATTACGCCCATG